GAACAGCCGGATTCTTTACAGGGCTTCTTAGGGCTATTTAATCACTAATTAATTTGGTCAGGAATAGACGATTAAATCGCTTTCTCGTGTTAAATTTAATAATTGAAAATAAACAAATTTAATTTTTCCGGCGACATTTGGTAGCGCCATCTGTTATGATATTTTTAAAAAAACTTTTGTTTTTAATTATTATAAAACGACAAAAAACTTAATTTTGAGGGTAGGAATGGATTTTATAAAAAATTGTAAACGAGTAAAATCTTCATTAAGTCCAACTATATTCGAGATACGACACTCGATCCCTTTTATCTCCGTATCCCTGGACCTTTAATCATCGAAACTTAATAGCATCAATCCCCCTAATACTCAAATTTCCACGAAAAATTTGAGAAAATTTCGACAAAAAACACAGGAGTTATTAAGCTTCAAAGAGTGAGAACAAAATCGTGCTCCCCACACACTAACATCCCACACCCATAGAAAAAAACACCGAATACGGTATTTTTTCGTTTCTGGAATTTTCGAGGTTCCCGAGTCCAAAAGATTAAAAATCTGGGGCTGGGGTCATTTTTTGACCTATTGCCATACTTTTTCGAATGTTATATATAACAGAGCCGGGAAAGTAAACATGGTAAAATTTACCGCTTGCGGTTGTACCAGTCGTGAGCGAAATGAAATTTTTCAAGAAAGCAGAGCCGGACCAAGAGGTATTTTCACCCGAGGCAGAAAGATAAATTCCCGCCCTATGTATAGTTTTTTATATTTATAATAAGTATTAAATAAAAACAAATAAGTAAATGATTAATTATATATGAAAATAAATAATAAGTTTACTCATTTGTAATATGTTATAGCGACAGAGACAGTATTACCAGACCTATTTCAGCTTTCAGCTGGTAAAAATAACGAGCGAGAATATACTGTGCGACCTAAGATACAGCCACTCTATATCTTGATGGTAAGAACTGGTACTATCGACTGCCATTTTACTTTAAGTGAAAACACTGAAGCTTTTAAAATGGTACAGATTCTAATCTTTCGCAATACCTGGTATCGGGAAAGATTACAATCTGTACCACTTATAAATTTTTTTCGTTTAAATCTAGATTGTTTCGTTTGCCCCTAGATTTGAGATTTAGGTAATTGGATAAGTGATGTAAGTCTAAATTGTTTCATTTCGAATTTATCCTATTTCGTAGATTTTATTTAATTATTATAGAGAAGGTAAGATCAAAAGGTTAAATTTTACCTATGTGCACCGTTATGGCCGCACTTCCGGAATCTCGACAGCGAGCATCTTTTGAATTTCAATGTAGGCGGCGCTGTTAGCCAGAAAATCATGTAAATAAGATTTATCTAAGTATATAAAATTACTTGTCCTGACTGACTCACTGATTCATCATCGTCCAGAGAAAACCGCTGAACCTATAAAGGTGAAATTTGGTACAGGGGGAATACATCATGAAAACGCACATTAAGAAGGGATTTTTTGAATTTTCCCCGCTGGGGGAGAGCATTAACCTCTTAACGTTTTATTAATTATAAAAAATGGCTTCCAAAAAAAGTCTTTCATTATTGTTTAAAAGAAATTTCCTTTCGTACATATTATTTACAAATTTATTATCTTTCACATAACAAAAAACTTGCAACGAATCACGTGACTCGACAAACCTCTCTAGTTTTAACTTTTACTGCTAATATGAAGGCAATTGAATAAAAAAATGAGTCCAAAGCTCCGCCAGAGAAAAGGAGACGAAACATTACTAAAAAGTTACTTGAAGAAGAAAATTTTCCTGATAACTTTCGTGATGATGAAGATGACTGTCCGTGCATATATTGCGATGATCTTTTTTCCCGATCCAAGTCCGGAGGAGACTGGTTACGGTGCTTAAATTGTTTGCGTTGGGCTCACGCTTCTTGCGCTGACGTTTCTAAAAGAGCCGAGCGTTTCGTTTGTAAACTTTGTCAGTAATTTTATAGGTTTTACGTGTATGTCATTTTGTCCATAGTACAGTAGAGCATCGATTATCCGACTCAATTGGGGACTCGGGCTGGTCGGATAACTGAAAAAATCGGATAACCGAAAATGATAAAAAAATACATTATTAGTATAGTATATTAGTATATCGCTATTAATTAGTTAAATATAATTAGTATATTAATATATCGTTAACCTACTTCGCGTTGAATTTTCATCGATGTTAAGCCTAACAAATTTAAAAAAATAATAATAATCGTCGTTATTGTATCGTTAAAAATTATTTTTAAATTGTTTTATTGCTCACGAAACAAACAACCACTCATAATTAGAAAATTAAATCTCGTTTAAATACTGGCCTCCCTTTCCTGGTCGAGCCAGTGTTGCCAGCTAAATCACTCAAAAATTTAACAAAAATTATATTAAAGTAGCCAAGACAAAGCCAAATATTGTAGTGCCACATCACTAGCGGATATTTGAAATTTGCTGACTAAAACGGTCGGTTAACCGATGTGACGGTTAATCGGGGATCGGATAATCGATGCTCTACTGTATTTTGGATGATCTCAATTAAACTAACAATAATTTTTTCTATTATTTTAATATTGTAAATGCGTAGTATATTTCATAGTAACGAAGATAAACAAATAAATATACAGAAAATGTAAAGACAAGGCATAAAAATAAGCTGTACAGCTTCATGAACAAAAGCTCTCAAAAATTAATCTTTATGTTGGCTACACTATACAGTCTTCCAAATGACAATGTATAAATCTTAAAGAAAAAATAGAAGACGTATTTTGTCACAGGCGGACTTACAAGAATGTTTTTGTTTTATCAGTAACAAAGAAAAGCGAAAAAAATAAAGCATTATTCCTCTTAGCTGTCTGCGAATATTTTAATTAAGGACAGTATCTCCAGATGACACACTCCTGCAAACATTATAGACCTAAATTTGTTAAAAGTTAAATTTTTTCTCAAATAAATTTATAGTATCTATTTACACTAAAATAACAAGGAAAAGATTACATTTAAGAACTTTGAATTATTAAAACTTAATTTGCATCACAGACACAATTCCAGGAACAAACACTAATTTTTTTTGCACTAATCGGTCAGCAAAAGAGTTGCAGAGAAGCCGAACTTTGACTTACATTTCGTTAATTTCTGCTGGCAATTATTAATTTTTTATATGGGTCAATTGTTTGTGTTCTATAGTGTTAACATTTCTGATTTGTTTTCATTTTCCGAATTATTGTATAATAAATAAATTAATTATTACCAGCCGACGGTATGGCACATTATTTCCAAGTTCTTAACCTTCGCCCGAGTTTACTCGGGCAATGTACATAGCGTTACATAAAACTCGGTCCTTTTTTTTTGAATTTTTGAGATGTTTTTTGTCTCCAAATTTTTTCAAATTTTTTTTTCGCGCGATTTTAATCAACCTTTAATGACGCGCGTTTCACGCTTAATTGCTTTTTAATTGTTTTTTAATTGGAGTTTGATATCAAATTTCATTCATCGTTCTAAAGTTGTAGTGCACGGATTTTTCTTCGGTAAAGTTATTTAAAGCTAGTTTCTGATGTCAAAAACCATCTCCGATAGTTTTTTAATTTTTTTTATTAATATATTTTATTATATATACGTTTAATTAAGTCGGGGGTCGAAAATCGCAATTAAAATTTTAATTTTTCAAAAATATTTTAAAATATATGGCCAGCTAGTTTCACCCTACCTTAAACCCATCGCATCCCGAGACGTCTATGAGGGGCGAGTGGTCTCCGTTGCCGCTCATAGCGGTGACCAGACCCTAAACACTGGGACCCACCAGTGGGCGAGTGGTCTCCGTTGCCGCTCATAGCGGTGACCAGACCCTAAACACTGGGAAGTTCGGTCGTGCGTTCGCGCCGCGATCGGACAGGCTGGCTGCAAGAAGTTTTCCGGGTTTTCTCCTTGCCAATAACGACTAAATAGGAGGCCAGTTCCCCATAAAAGTCCTCCCGGAAGGCACTCTTTACCGCGCGCGCGTATAAGCCGTCATATACGGCTGGCTCTTGTCGCATAGCGATCAATAAAAATCGTCTCGGAGACAAAGCATTTCAGGCTATAATCTCCATATGAACCAAGGGTGAAGAATAAGAATAAGAACAAGGGACGTCTATGAGAATGTCCCCAGAAATCCAACTCCAGCTGTGTTCAAGGTCATTCAGCTGTGTAAACAATGACTCGTTGGTGTTAAATTTCACAGAAAGGCCAAAGGAAAATAAAATTTGAAGCTTTTTCTTCAAAATTAACACATTTCTTTCGTTTTTTTCAGTTGTATTTTTTATGTTTAATTACATTAATTAATATCAAAAATTGCTGGGAACTAAAGGTGTTAACTATCAGGAGTTATCTTTTTTTCATAAAACAGCAATATTCTAAACTTTTTGTGGCTAATATTCCTTTATAATTTAAGATAAACTTTTAGATCTTAATTCTTTAATTTTTTATTGGGGCTCAAAAGTAAGTTAACCCGGTATATTAATTATAGCATTTAATGAAGTTGTTATAAATAAAATTTAAATAAGCTGTCTAGCCATTTACAAAAGTGAAATATCACGGAAACTGACTTTTGGGCCACTCTAAATGCATATTAATTTAAAATATATAAATTAATTTTGTAAAAAATTATTTTCAGCGTAATTCCCCACGTCCAGTTAAGAAAAATGTAAAATGGGCTGAGAAACGTAAAAATTCTGAAGAGAAAACTGAAAAAGTGAAAGGAAAACTTTGTGGTATTTGGAAAATTTTCAAGATGCAAACCACCCTGAATGCTCCTGATTATTATTCTCGAATCTTATTTCCAACGGTTTTTTTATTATTTTCTTCCTATTATTGGAGGCATTATTTAAGTTTTCGCAGAAAAATATTAAACGATTGAAATCGCTGTTTTCGTTGACGTATCAATAACGATTTCAAATTGTTCTAATTATTTATGATGTTTGAATTGCCATTCTTTATAATAAATCTTGTGTAATTAATAAGGTTCGTTAATCGCTACTTTTATTTATTAAATCTACAATACAACAAAGAAATGAAAGTTGAAAACTTTTCGTAATTAGCAATTGTTGACATTTCGTTTATTTTTTATTCCCGTTTCTGGATCGACACACCAACACTGGCCGGAGGAACCGGAACATTGCTTTTTCTTAAATTTGCCATCTTCGCTACATTCTGGCACAGTGGCACCTTTAGCTGCGCAATAGAACGAATATATAAATAATATTCCTTTGTAAATATGTTAGAAAATTATATTTAACTTACAGTTTTTCAATTTGTCGTCTCTATCGCGGTGGCAAACGCAAGATTTAATTTTTGTAGAGGGTTGAGTTATGGGTGTGCCGTCTTTGCGCCAACAGGAACAGAACTTTCCTTCGTTGTGACATTGTAAAGCCGCGTAATCACCATTCGATTCGCAAATGGGCACTACTTTAACCGGTGCAGAACTCTTACTCGCCTTTTCTCTGTGTTCCTGGCACTCGCTCTTTTCTGAAAAGAAATGCAAAATTTTCTCTCCAGTTTCAATATTAATTAACTTCTAAATATTAAAATGTGACTCACTTTGAGCGGAAGAAATCGCTATTAAAGCGACACCAATCTGAGAAAAAATAAATAATTCAGATAAATATTTTGTAGACTATTTTAAATTAGAAATTATTCAAGAAATTCTTACTAGGAGTATCAAATATATCTTCATCACAAAATTTATTGTAGCTGCTCTGAAAAAATATAAAAATAAGAGTAAACTTGGTCAATACTTTGTCTTTTTAATCTAATATTTAACTTACAAAAACATTATTAGACACATTAATTGATTTTAAATTGAATTGGTGTGAATTGATGAGACAACGCAACTCCAAAAGTTAGCCTCCTCGAAAGATTTTCTACGGGAAACGGGTGATAAAAATCATGCGGTCAGTCTGTTGATCAGGCACGAACCCGAAACCGACTACTGTAAGGTCTCTTTTTATGCGGATTATTTTAATGCGATTTTGTAGTTGTGCGGTTTGTATTTCATCCAAAAATTTCTTGGACAAACATACATATAGGCTTGTTTAGGAAGCCCGCGTATAGACAGTCTCCAAAAATCGTAAAACGCTCAAAGCACACTCCATTTGTTCCAATGACATATAACATTTATGGATGTAAAGGACAGCTAGATCTACCTTAATCGCTTTAGTTCCTAGCAATTTTTGATATAAATGTAATTAAACATAAAAAAATACTTAAAACTGAAAAAAACGAAAGAAATGCGTTAATTTTGAAGAAAAAGCTTCAAAGTTTAACTTCCTTTGTTTCGCCCTTCTGTGAAATTTAACACCGATGAGTCATTGTTTACACAACTGGGTGACCTTGAGAACATCTGGTTTTGGATTTCCCGGGGCATTCTCATAGACGTCGCGGGAGGACAAGGGTTTANAATAGAATAAGTTATTTTTACATTTATTGCCTTTAAAATACAATTATAATAATAATGAAAATAACATAAAGTTATTAAATTTTAATGTGACAAATGTGCTCGATTTTTTTTGCGCGACTTTGTAAAATCTGGTTGCTTTTTGGTCAGTTTCAGTCTCGAGTCATCTTCGAGTCGAAGTCGGCGACGATGTTTAGTTTTCGTGTTTGTCACGGCCGAAAATCCGCTCTGGCAGAGGTATGTTGTGCAAAATGGTAGTAAATACTGTATTTTATTGCCGCTTGGCTGACACGATAAATGTCTTTTAGGTCAGCCCAAAAATTACCCAATGATTGCTCTGCAAAACAACTCTCGAGTCCGATGTTGCACGAAATGTCTGTTAATTCCTCTTGGTCAGAGATGGGAAGGTGGTCGGTGGAGTTATTCGCAACAGCGACAAAAATTTACAAAATTAATTTTGCGAAAACAAATTGAGTTAATTGTACAATTTTTGTTTCTTGAATTTCATTTAGGTATTGTCACAAATGCATTTTTTAATGAAATTTCGATAATATTTTTAGTTATAAATAAACGAATTTGCGCATTCGACATCGTGTTGTAAATTGCCGAAATTTTGATGGTTCACGCATTATTTTTTTGATTGCTTCATCTCATGCGTTTAAATTTTAAATCGACCGATTTTAGATTGCCGCGCGTACCCCTTCGTGCAATTTCGCTTACCCCCAGGGGTACGCGCACCACTAATTGGGAACCATGGAATTATAGAGTAAAACCAGGTGAGATGCCTATAGTTTTCTTCAACGCATATAAATCGTTTAACAATGGAATCCAGAAAAATAATTATATAACGCATATACTGCCAGGGGTTGTCTTTTAATAAAACTGAACAAAGTTAAATAAAATCTCGACGTAACAGAGTGGTAGCAACAAAATGACACTTGTCCGTTTTGGGCATCTATCCCGTACTTAGCACGCTTAAGAATGAGATACCTATATTATTTCACACTTAATTTAATCAACTATTTTGGTATTTTCCACACTCATTATAATTTGTAATATGTTTTGTGCATGTTTCGTTTCTTCACTTTTTGTACATCACACATCGAATCCAATTCGCGAATTTTTTATATGCGCTTTTCTGTAGAACGTATCCACCGCATAAAACGAGACCTTACAGTATAAGTGTTCAATGGTTTCATCCTGGCTGGCACCTGGATAGAGGCCAGTTTCCTTTAGAAAGTCCTCTCGGATGTTACGCCTCCCTTACCCCATTAATCCAATTTTCGAATTGTTTTTGAACGATTTGAAGATTGATCTGATATTGTCGTTCAAAATTTTCCAGTTTAATTGGCCAATTCAAAAGGTCTAGTAGGGGAGAAAATGTAAAAATTTCAACTCGAAAATAAATTAAATTATTAACACAAGAATAATAATAATAAATTATAATTGTTTGTTAACTCTAATCGAATTTTTTCGATTTTCGAGAATTCGGAATAGGTACCGTTCGAAATTTGATACAAAAATATTTCGAAAATTTCGTATTTATAGCTGGAAGTTTTCAAAACATTTATCGAACCAGCAGCTGACAGACAAATAACTAGTGTAAACCAATTTATTTATTTATTGATATAACTTTATAATTTAATTGAAAGAATTATAGACTTATTATTTTCATAAAATAAATTAATATAAACGGAGTGGTTCCCAATTAGTTTTTCTGCGTACCACTTCAAGAAAGAGCTCAAACTAGCATACCCCTTATAGCAGAAATTCATATTAATCCATACTAATATTATAAATTCGAAGGTAATTCTGTCTGTTGTCTGTCTCTGTTACATTTTAACGTATAAACCGCCGAACAGGTTTTAATAAAATTTGGCACAGAGGTAGCTTACACATTGGAGATGGACATAGGCTACATTTTACTGCGAGAAAATATCTTACTCCCACGAGAAAATTCGATATAATGAGGGCGAAGTCGCGGGTAGACAGTTAGTGATAAATAGAATAAGTTATTTTTACATTTATTGCCTTTAAAATACAATTATAATAATAATGAAAATAACATAAAGTTATTAAATTTTAATGTGACAAATGTGCTCGATTTTTTTTGCGCGACTTTGTAAAATCTGGTTGCTTTTTGGTCAGTTTCAGTCTCGAGTCATCTTCGAGTCGAAGTCGGCGACGATGTTTAGTTTTCGTGTTTGTCACGGCCGAAAATCCGCTCTGGCAGAGGTATGTTGTGCAAAATGGTAGTAAATACTGTATTTTATTGCCGCTTGGCTGACACGATAAATGTCTTTTAGGTCAGCCCAAAAATTACCCAATGATTGCTCTGCAAAACAACTCTCGAGTCCGATGTTGCACGAAATGTCTGTTAATTCCTTTTGGTCAGAGATGGGAAGGTGGTCGGTGGAGTTATTCGCAACAGCGACAAAAATTTACAAAATTAATTTTGCGAAAACAAATTGAGTTAATTGTACAATTTTTGTTTCTTGAATTTCATTTAGGTATTGTCACAAATGCATTTTTTTATGAAATTTCGATAATATTTTTAGTTATAAATAAACGAATTTGCGCATTCGACATCGTGTTGTAAATTGCCGAAATTTTGATGGTTCACGCATTATTTTTTTGATTGCTTCATCTCATGCGTTTAAATTTTAAATCGACCGATTTTAGATTGCCGCGCGTACCCCTTCGTGCAATTTCGCTTACCCCCAGGGGTACGCGCACCACTAATTGGGAACCATGGAATTATAGAGTAAAACCAGGTGAGATGCCTATAGTTTTCTTCAACGCATATAAATCGTTTAACAATGGAATCCAGAAAAATAATTATATAACGCATATACTGCCAGGGGTTGTCTTTTAATAAAACTGAACAAAGTTAAATAAAATCTCGACGTAACAGAGTGGTAGCAACAAAATGACACTTGTCCGTTTTGGGCATCTATCCCGTACTTAGCACGCTTAAGAATGAGATACCTATATTATTTCACACTTAATTTAATCAACTATTTTGGTATTTTCCACACTCATTATAATTTGTAATATGTTTTGTGCATGTTTCGTTTCTTCACTTTTTGTACATCACACATCGAATCCAATTCGTTTTATTTGTTTCGATTTTTTCATTTTGAACACCTAACATTGAATTTGATTTGATTCCAGAGCTCGCTTCGCTAAATTACTATCTTTAAGTCTTCTGCGGAGAGTACGATATGGAATATTAAATTCTTTGCTTTCTTGATAGTAGTTTAGACGATTAGTATGTACTGTTTCAGCTGAAAGCAGGGACGAATCCTGACGAAAATTTTTGGGCAAGCTGAAAGTTATAATAGAAATAATAAGCCTGTCTCTAGCACTAAACAATAGGCAGAAACGTTATCTAGTGTGAGTAAAAAAAGTATTGTAAGTGAAGTAATACAAAGCTCGCAAATTACTTGATGGAAGATAATCATCGTAGCAATCTTTCACTTGAAGGTAAAGTCTGCTCTCCTGTTCTTCACGATAAACTTCTGTATTATCACTTCATCACAAAATGTCGGTCGATTTTTAAATCATCGAGTAAAGCTTTCTCAATTGACAACAGTGCCAGTGAAGATAGTCTTTCTTGTCCTTGAGTTGACCCGCAATACGTTTTTATCCTCCGCAATGCAGAAAATATCCTTTCAGCTGTAGCAACGGTAGTAGGAATTGTGGCAATCGATGTAGCGCGTTTATACATTTCCTTCAGTCCCATTTGAAGGCCATTTTCACTCATAAACTTAACTAACTCAAAACCAGGCTTATCTTTAAACTCTTGCGAACAATAGAGAACAGACAATTCATTCCTCAAATGGATAAATTGGAGAGTTTCTTGGTTGTTTCTTCTACTTTTTTAGTACTGTATGCACGAGCCGGCCCTATCATAGGGCGAACGGAGCAGCCGCTCCAGGCGCTAAGTCCTATGGGGCGTCTCAGTGATATAGAAAATTATAGGGTATAAATTAGGGGCAACCAAGGGGGCGCCATAATAGGATCTCGCTCCAATCTAAAACCTGCCTCAGGCCGGCACTGTGTATGCGATATCCATACTTTTTGTCTGAAGAATATTGAAGAGATCATCAGTAAAAGAAAATACTCGAGAAAATACATTAAGTAAGAAGCGAGTCTGAAACTTTTGCAGGAAAGACACGAATCCTTGAGCTTTTATGACGTCCAATCCGCAGTGTTCAAGTAAGTTTTGAAAGAACATTATTATTATGTCATATTTCTCTATTGCAGTATTCACAAGTCTCGAGATAAAATTCCATCTCGTAGGGGCGACTGAAGGCAAATTTTTTCAACAAAACACTGAAGATCCTATGTTTGTTAAGAAGACATAGAAAACAATGCTGAAAGTCTCGAAAGTGTTTGAAAGAAAACCCTGCATTTCTTGATATTTGAGGATGATTGTTGCAGAGTTAAATTTAGCATGCGGCTGTAGCAGTGAACGAAAACTGCAGGGGGATCTAGCTCTTTCACTTTTGCATTTAAACCGTTGACTCGGCCTGCCATTACTGCAGCGCCATCGTCGGTTTGTGCAATAAGTTTGCTACCACACTTGAAATAATACAGAAGATTTTAACATTCTCTAAAAGTGATGCAGCTGAACTATGGCTACTAATATCAGGGATGTAGAGGTGAAAGGCTATATTAGTGAAGTGGATTTCACTTCACTGATATAGCCTTTCCCGAGTCTGTCCGTTTTGATCAACAAAACGAAGAACAGTTGAGAGCTGTGATTTGTTTATTACGTCGGAGGTTTCGTCTAAAATCAAACTCAGTCTGGTCGAACTACTGAAGAGTTGGAGACAATCAAATCATTTTAAATTGCAGGAAGAGGTGCCCCGGAAAATTGTTAATTCTTTTAAATAGTTCTTTAATAGTGGATCATATAGACGAATTAACTTCAGAAGTTTCATATACAGTAGTTTTCTTTATTGAGAGAAGTATCTGACTCGTTCAAGAATGTCGCGGCTATATCATTATACACATGATCGCTAGTTCCTTGATGCTCATTAAGCCGGTGATCGATTCTAGTCCTCCCAAAAGTATTCTGACTGATAAAAGATGTAAGGTAACTTACAGATTTCTCAGGTCTACTGACAGCCACAGAAAGACAATTTAAATTCACAAACACATTTTTACTCCACACTCCATTGTCTGTTGAAAATAACAAGCAGGTCAGCAGAATAGTTTATTTAATTTTTTAAATCCAGCTAACCAAGGTATACCTATTTGCGTATTGAAATATTGATATTTTAAAATGTCGTACATACTTCCATTCTTATCTTTATGATCGGAAGTTAAATTTCGAATCTCAGAATATGATCTATTCCTCACAATTTCGATTTTTTCAGCTACATTTCTTCTAGAAAATGGTCACTGATTATACAAAGCTCTTTGTTTTCCATAATTAGGCCTAGTTCACTACTTACGACAACGTGCGTAAGTCAGATTTGAAACTACACAATACATGTATGCTTACTGGGTAACGTAAGCTTTCCATACAATCTGGCCATGTTAAATGCTTTAAATGACGTCACGCGCGCTCAGTTGTTTGCGATCGAGTTCCCGCAAGCATCATACTGACTTAAAACGGCTAGCCACTAGCTGAGCCGTCAATGTAAAAGCAAACACAAATGATAAAAGAGTTTACACATTATAATAAATTGTTATTGGCATATTTGTTTTTATATAAAAAGTAGATTGACAGTCAAAACTTTCTGTTAAGCATGCGGCGCGTGCTAAGCAAGTCCAGAGAATTCGCTCCTGGCCGAGAATAAGTCTTGTTCAGTCCATTGGCACCAGTTTCCCTTCTTTCGAGCTCGGTAGGCATCTAAAATTAATCAACTAATTAAGTTCATAATAAAATATTTCAGAAAAAGTACGCATCTCTTCCTTAAATCCAGTAGGCATTTCTCCCAAACCGCACGGGAGAGATGCCTATTTCTATATTTTAGATAAAAAATATTAGGAGACCTTCTGGCTTCGACTACACCACAACTAACTAACCCTACTTTCACATCTAGTAAAAATATCGCACGAACACATTCGAATTTCAGAACTTTTCGTAAAAATGTAAATGTCGCAAAATAGTTTAGAGAGACGGTTAATAAAAAATCGCCAAAACAACCAGTCGAAAAATAATGAAAACACAAGAACGTTAAGCTGAGCCACCATTAAAGTGACTAGTGACCTATTATTGTACCGAGTATTATTTGAATAAACCTCTTCTAATCGTTTCTCCCGACTCGGTTTTACGCTATATGTATGGAATGAATGAAAATTGCACTTCATTTTCTAAATTAACCTACTGGAAAATTCATTCCTTTTCTTCTGAATAATGAAATTTGTTAAATAAATATCTCGAATTACTTACTTTTTTAGTGACGAATTGTGTTTTCTTAATGATACAACTTAGAAAATCTCGACCTATTTAATGAGTAATTTCGAGTAATATTCAGCAGAAGCGTATTGTTTGAATTCTTGGAAGACAATTCAAGTCTCAGTAATCATTATCAACTTCCAACAGACCCATTTAAGTCTGTCAAGATTACGTGGAGAGATTGCTTCCATCGACCTTCAATTTCCAATTTATTTTACTTTACGTACGCGAACGTTTATTGGTTAACTTCTGATTGATCTTTCTTGGTCTTTGATTGCGAATACGGACCCGGATAGGATGTGGCGAGATTGGAAAATTGCGTGAAATTATAAGATAAAAATCTAGAATTCTCGGTAATTTTCCGACAACGATAAGTATAATTAACTTGTAGATAAATTGTCAATCGGGCAGAACACCGCAATTGTTTCAAGGATATCAAGATATTACTTGGTAACCTGTATTACTAAACTGTGTTTGTTGCACAATACTTTGGCAATTAATATTGTTATTAGATATGTCTAGGCAGTAATTACAGTAAAAAGTTGGTTAAAATGTTTAGATTCCACAATATTTAATAATAAAATTATAATTCTAAACTTAATGTAATAAAATTCTGTAACTTAAACATCTTATATACAGGTGCCGTATAACTCTAAAAGCATAGGATTTGATCTTTGTTTATTTTTTCAGATAAAATATCTCCGAACGAGGAAGAACGAATTCTAGTCATTTTGATGGTGGGAACCCGCAGTCGGCGTGAAATTGTCAAAGACATCCAGATTTTCCATTAGTATAGATGCAATTTTTAAACGCGATCCCACCAACAAAATAACTGTAATTCGTCCTTTCTTACTCGATGCCACGTAAAAGAACAAAGAAAGATCAGCTTAACTCCCGTGTTTCCGTGCTTAAGGTTATCGTGCGTAATTAATACATCATACATACGAAGTTAAGTAATTAAATGCGCAAATAATTTTTATGTCAATTTAATATTTTTACATTCTACCAAAGGAATTTGTGCCTACAGGACGATCCAAAAGTTAGTTAACCGTGTACGGATCGTCTATCGAGATTAGTACAGAGTGCCGCGAACATAATAAAAATATGATTAAGTGTGTGAGTACTTGTTAAAAGGAAAAACGTTTTAAAATGGTTAACTGACTTTTGGGCCACCTTACATATATAGGCCTAGATGTCTTTATTAAGTATAATTTTCTGAAATGAAAAAATGTCAATGATAAAAGGTACTTACGTTTTTGTAAAAGTTCTCGGATGATTTGAATTGTCCTATTTGCGCAAAGTTCTTTTATGCGTAGTCGAAAGGTATTTAGTTGCACAAACGTCATTGTACCTTGAAACGTATGTCGAATGACCGGTTTCTCCTTCCTTATACGGAGTTATGTTTTTTACAAGTTTATTTAAACAAATATTAAGCAACATATAGAAAAAAGTAAGGACAACTTCTTTAATAACTTTACAACTTTTGACGTTTTTTACAAAGACCGTAATTGTAGGGAAGATTTGAATTCTGTTATTGATGACATTTCATTAAAATAAAAAAATAAAATATTCCAAGAGTTAAAAATCAAAATGTATTCTTAATTAAAATCTAAATGTTTTGCATTTTGTTTACGTTATTTAAAATAAATAAAATAAAGAAGTTACTTAATTTGTTACTCAATTTGAAAACTGAGTGATGTTTTTTGTTTAGAAATAATTGTTCCGGTTTTAGGCTATAAAAGAAATATGAGAAAATTGCAACAAATTGAATTATTTTGTGTAATTATTACGTTCGAGTTCCTATTGTCGTAAACCGTGCTTATAATTTCCACATTTGTCCGTTTGTCTCTTTGAATATCGAGAAAACCGCATCATCTCGGAGATAATTTTAAGGGATGATGACGGATGCATGCACAGAAGAATTTATACTTTGCGCAATTTCTCTTAACTAAAATCTGTAGAGATTACAGTTAAGAGAAAAAAATAATTCAAAAAGTCGAATATTTACATTTAAATTAATTTTTTAAAATTTACTTACAAATTTTTATGCTTTTTAACTATTCAATCATGAAAATTCCTTTGAATTTTTTAAACAACTCGCTAATGTTAGCTTATTTTTATAGAAAAATAAAAGTATTTATTACGTAAGAATGATTTTTTTCCGTCGGTGTCTCGTATTAAATGTAAATCAAATTATTCAACATTCCAGAGACTTTCCAGTATCAACGGAATCTTTATATATTAATGAGTGTATTGTAAAAAATGCTGTTTCCTTGATTAAATGTTGGCCTTTTCACACAAGCGCTGTTACTGCGACATCTTTTCTAAATGATTAGTTAGCGGATGATCACGATGTTTTCCAACCAGTTCGATGCGGTTTTCACCAGGTCACGAGCTACATTCCCGAATATCCTCGACTTCCTTCCCAATAAAGGGGTCGAAAATAAAAGAACACTGGCTTATTAGAATATCTTTATATAGTATAATAATGGGAACAATTAAAAATATGAAGTACACTGAAGTGCAAAGTCCATAAACTGCAGCTTGTTAGGTTTTCACATAATAAGTTGTAGTTTAGGGTCTGGCTTTATGAATCTATAACTCGGGGCAACATTCTCACATGTATTGGCCTATTATATGTTACAGCTTAGGGTCACCAAATCTAAGACCAGCCTGCTGAAGTTTGTACAGGACTTGGAGTTTATCTTACTAAGGTATAATCAGAAATGCAATATAAAATCTATTAATAATTTATACAAGGGGGAAATAGGGATAAGGTAAGGGTGAGCCATAATGGGCTCTCTTATTTTGTTTTTTTTAACAATTTTTATTAAATAACTCACAGGTCGGGTCAACAGCGCGTGAAGTTACCTCATTCGTGTTATTATCTAAGAAAACAAGATATTAAAAATAAAAATCGAGGACAAGTTTGTCTTCTCTAATTTTGAAATTTCTTGTAAACGACAATAAGGCTTTACCTTATGTCACCTAATCAAATATGCAAAAAATCCAGTACGAAGGTCGGTTCATTAAATATATGTGGAAACAAATTTACCATATTTGAAATAAATATTTTTGTCTTTATAATTGTGTGACGCTCTCGTGTATTAAATACAATGATGGTGTCACACAAATATGTAAGGTCAGCATCACCGGCATACAGAGGAAGAGACATCTCGAAACTCCTACGAGCATTGAAGCAATCTACAGATAATAGGATCAAAGAGAAATAAATAAATAAAATAATTAATTCTATTGCGAAACTACAATATGTATAAATAATTACTGTAAATGAATAATTATTCCTTTTGAAAATCGCAATCACATTAAACGTGACTTTTTTGGCTTTCTTCACCTCGTGGATACACTAAAAGGTCCTTTTTCCAAGACGGGTTTTACCAGGTCCTGACGATAAAGGACTGCGACCGATATATCTGGGGCCCGTGAAAAATTCCTAGAGAGTTGCTCGCCTGGATTCAATCCCGGGTTACGCAGAGGGGAAGCTGGCATAACGATGGCGGTAAATAATGACGTTAAAAATGAATAATTTTCTGTTCTAATTATAAAATCCAATTTCATTTCACCCGCTAGATATCAATTATATCTTGTTAGATCATACAGTTACAGTTATAAATTGAAAACGTTTGGAATATAACATTAAACATCAGTTAAATGAAAGTAACATTTTATCTTAAGAATTCTGAAGAGACGCGACTAGTAATGGCTCACCATCGGACGAGTGGATAAAACTTACTGAACACTACCAGTTAGTGGCGAGTTCGTGCCAGGTGCAGTTTTCCGACTTTTCTTCAAGTGTCTAACTCACAAATAGGCGTACTGTTTGGGAGATCGGCCGTCATCTGTCGCGTTGCCTCATTTCAGCAATTCAATTTCTTCGATTTAATTTCTTGCACGTTTAAATTTCGGCAGGAAACTGTTGTATGTTGAGCGTAGGAGCTTGGAACATGTTTGTGATCAATACTTCTTGGACATTTATCGGGAAACAATCAAAATATCTGATAAATTTTTAGGCGGGTAATCAGTACTTTGTAGACGTTACTGTGGTCAAAAGGTTTTTGTTGTCTGTTAGTAAAATTCTGATGTCGATATTTAACTTTTATAGAGCAACAGATAACATCAGAGGAGAAAATAATCGGTGATATTAATTCGCGGATTAGATGAGAAGTAAGATGTAATGGTTTTCTCAAGTTTACGGCATTAATTACAGGCAACAAATTTACTTTTTATGTAAGTGCGACTCTTGTACTTCGAAACACACAAACATCCCGCAGCTTAAAACATTGTTCATATTCAGCGTCCTAAAACATTACGTATCGTTATTTATCAAATAAAAATGTCAAGCGGTAAATCTAGTTTCGGAGGCCAAGAATAGACGCGGAAGCGTCGAAAAAGGCCATCGAAGGCGTCACAAGTTCTCTAATGTGTTTGATTCATTCCTGTCTTTTATAGCTGTTGCCATGGTAAAAAGTATCCAGACAAACGAAATTTAATTAATGTATTGTACTGTACTATTCTAATTGTATAAACCATTCAACATTCCAAGGTAAAAATATCTTATGTTCCGAGGTACGTGACGTGTTGTACTATATTTACAAACATTCCTTTTTTTAAATGAAAAATTATTTTTTCTATATATAAATTAAAGAATAGTTAAATATAAAAGATAGAAAAAGTCTTCACTTCCACCCTGTCCAACCATCAGGAACTAAAAACAGTCCTTCGCAGAGACGACCTTTTACGGTAGGCAACGACTCCGTTACAATAAGCAAAACAGTTTAAAAATGTTCGTACAAACTTGTAGAAACTGTATATTCGAATAGTAAATCTATTAAGTACTGTACATTATGTAAGGATGGGAGTTATTTTTTATTGTAGCAAAAGAATAATAGAAAACGTATTGTTAATGGTTTAAAAAAATCAGAAAAGTGTTACAAAGTACAACTTGCTTTAAATGCTTTAAAAATTACCAAAACTTTGGCCGCTTAGTTGGATTGTTATCGTCTCTAAAATTTCATTTTTAAACAAATTTTCGTGAAAAATTATTAATATAAAATTTTTTGAAAATCGACTAAACACGGGAATAATTTGTACGAAATTTTACCAATTTTGTGCTTTTATACAAATCTACAATACAGAATTAATACCGCATAGAAAGCTTTGAATCTGTTATTCATCATACAGTATATTTATAATATAAACTAGCTGCAAGATCCCGCTTCGCTGGGTTTTTATTTGTATGTAATAGTATAGTTTTTTTTTATATATAAAAGACTGTTTTTCTAAGTAATCTAGAATCTAGCTGCAAAAACCCGCTTCGCTGGGCAAAAAGTAACGATAGTGAAGATTAAGATAATTACATTATAGCTAATCTTACCCGTTTTCACAAAATGCAAGAATTAGGTCCCCCGTTTCCAAACTAATTAGAGAATTTTTACTTTTAGTCAAACGAACAAATTTCAACGTTTCTGGAACGTTTTTAATCGTTTTATAATCGAACCAATTCGAATTTTATGTTCGAATTTAATTCGAACAAATTCGAAAAAATCGAACGAAACATTCGAAATAGAAAGCCACTTTCAACCACTTTCAGCCTCATATCTCCCGCACCCTTATAGCTATCGAGACGCAACCACCCCTATGCACGAATGGAGACTTGGG